ATAATCATATTTTATGTGCACATACCCACTTTTTGTGCCAATGTCATTAATAAAAACGTTAAACGAGTGGTGTGATGACCGATTCCTGAGAAACTCCACTATTAACTACCTTTCTGACAGTTCATTTTTCAGCACAATCCACTTTGGTCTCCTTTTAATCAGTTCCTTGTTCACTTTTCAATTTTCATATTCATTCCCATCTTCCCCAGCTCTAGCTGTGCATGGTAGTGTCATCCCACTACCACCAAAATCAGTTCTAAACTTAGACTTCTATACCTTCTTTAAGGATAAATAAGTCACCATTTTGCTGTTAGGAAAACCTGATGTCTGATTATTTATAAGTTTAAATGTTATTCTTATTACATTTTCTTCAGTTTGGGGTAACTTGAAAAATGTAACTGCTCATAGATCATAGACCTATTCTTTGTCCCAATAGGATTAAAAAAAGAGAGAGAGAGAGAGAGAGAGAGAGATTTTGAACATAAGATACATAACTGAAAATGATTCCTTCATGTCCTTTACTCACCTACTCTGTTTTGGGAACTGAAATCCTTTGGAAAAGCTTTGATTGGGTAGAGATCTGATCATCGCTAAATGTCTAATTCGACAATGCTGGAAGTTGCAAGAGTGCCCAACTACCAAAGATTGACACTTTAACTTGGTTAGGCTGCTATCAATGCAATAAATAATGTGTTGCTATAGTAGCAGTCAAGATAAATATATGGTCTGCATTTCTGGATAATCAGTTTAATTCAAATCTGTTTTGGATTTTGAATAATAAGTTTAATTCTCCATTGGGTAACTTGGTTTGCATTGTCTTCCGAGATCCTAAATTCCTCTCATCATCTCAGACTATCCCTTCCATCTCTTTTGTGTGTCCCTGCTTGTCCCTGTCCCCCGCTGCCCTTTCCTCCCTGTTTGATCGTTCTTTTATTATTTGCTTTTGCTTACCTTTCAAGTTAGTTTTTGGTCTGCCCTTCAGTGTTCTCTCTAACATATGTCCATGGGTATAACTTTCGTTATTTGGGTAAATATGGAAGTGATGTATCACATAACAAAAATCATTCCACATATGCACAGTGTGTAATGGGGGTGGTGTTGAGTATTTGGGTTGCAGGAAGTGCTTCAGGGCTGAAGCAGAGGGTTGGGATGCATGGTGAGGTCTGTGGCTGAAGTTGTTGGCTCTGGGGTGGGGCTGGGGATGATGGGTTTGGGATGCAGACTGTCCCTGGGCCAGAGGACTACTCCCACCCCCAGCACTCACTCATTGCAGCAGCTTGGGTCCTCGTGAGAGACACCTTTCCATGGCCGCAGCAGGTACAGCAATCGGAAGGGCAACTGTTCCCCACCTGGGATAAGTCCCAGCTAGACATAATGGAGGTCAGGAAGGAGCACTTCTTCCCTGGCAGCAGCAGTTCTGGGTTAGGTGCTGTGGCCAGGGGAAAGTCACCCCCTTCCTCCTGGCCCCAATATGGAGCTGCTGTGGCTGGGGCAGAAGCAACTTTTTCCTCCCTGGAGCTGTCATGGCAGCTCTGCTGCAGCAACTCCATGGTGGGGAGAGGTGCTTCTGTCCTGGCTTCAGCAGCTCCATGCTGGAGTCAGCAGGCAGAGGAAGCGCTTTGTGCAGCTGCATTGGGCCCTACCTCCAGGCTTGTTAAGCAGCTATGCAGCCACCTAGCCACGAAGCTAAAGGGAACTTAGCCTCTCTATACTTTTCATATCTTTTTTTTCCTTCTTTTGCTTCTCTTTTTCTTTTGTCCTTTCCAAAGAAGCAATTCTGGGAATTAATTTATGATTTTATTTTACAACTGGAAGCAGAATAACTAACAAAATGACCATCACTGCATGATTGTACACGCAGTTCTCTTTAAACACTCAGTTGTCTTTGTTGTATTATTCTTTGCCCTTAGGTAATGCAATACTTTTTCATTATTATCTTGTTGTATAATCTGATCTCTCTCTATTCCAAGCTAAATACCTTCATTTTCTTTGTCCTCTTTGTTATTTATTAGCTGTATTTAAAATAAAGAATAGGTAAATAAATTGCCAATGACGGTGAGTCCTTCACAACTTCTCCCCCCCCAGATTAATTACCCTTAAAAATATGTTTCTTATTTTCAATTTGTTTAATGTCATTTCAGATTGTAGTTATTGGATTTTATTCTAGCTTTGTTTGCTAGATAAAAGCCCCCATTTTCAAGTACCTGTACCCTATATAGTTACTTATAAACTCTGATCTTTTTAGCTGTTGAGCTCAATAGAACGATGGATCTTCTTGAGTATGATACATGGTTTTTCAGAACTTTAATAATCTTTGTGTCTTTTCTCTGAATCTTTTCCAGTATATTAACATCCTTCTTAAATTATGGATACCAGAATTGGATGTAGTAGTCCAGCAATTATCAAACCAGCCCCAAATACAGAAATAATATCTCTGCATTTCAACTTTCAAATCCAATATGCATCCAAAGATCATATTAGCCCTTTAGCCACAGTGTAGAACTGGGAGCTTATGTTCATTTGAATCCCAGGAATTTTTTTTTTAAAAAGTACTTGTTTATAGACATGTGGGGCGCAGAGCCTTTTACTAATGAAAAAACATCAACTATCTTAAAAGTTGTAGAATGCCAGTTCTGAGGCTTAATTACTGTTTTCCTTTGGACTGTAAATTTTGGGTTAAAGACAATAGTAGGGCATGAAGAATGATACTGTTCCCAGCAATGTTGCAGTGTTGCTGTTGGAGAAATCTGTGTCCGTGAGAAGTAGGAGAGGTAATAAGCCATCTAGCAAGTATATCTTTTTCTTGCTTTTGCAGATTTTTGCATTGGGTAGGTTTTATGTATGACGGACCATTCTCAAAGAACAGATACCAGTGGTTGTAGTTGAAGTAGGAGATAGGGATGTTAAAATGTGTGTATTCAGGTAAATCTGTAATCGCTGAAAAATTCAGGATTACATGTTTACATGTGGGGGAGAGGAGAGCAGATTGTCGGGAGCCACTCCCCCAGCTATGCTGCTGCTTCTGTATCTGCTTCTGAGGCTGCAGTGAGGGGGGATAGATGGCTCCCTGGGAGCTGGTGCTTATGGGGAGCTGTCTTAAAGGCTGGCTCCCCATGCGCATTGTCTCCTGAATGCTTTCCCTCCTCCTCCCCCTCCCCCACCCCATCCTTAGAGGCAGCAGCATGGGGGTGGGGAGCCTGTGTGTAAATGTGAAGGTTAACTGATAAGCCAGGGCTCATCGGTTAATTGTTTACATGTGCAAACTATCACATCCCTAGTAGGAGGATGTATGGGTTTTGCAGGGGGGATCTTGACCTATGGCTAGCTTTAGTATTTTCATTAATGACTGGATGATGGAGCAGAGAGTAATGCTCATAAAAGTTGTGGATGATTGCAAGCTGAGGGAGGTTCAAGCATTTTAGCAGAATGGATTAGAATTCAAAGTGATCTTGATAAATTGGAGAATTGGTCTAAAATCAGCAAGATGAAATTCAGACAGATATAAGGTAGGGACGTGAACAGGTAACTGGTTACCTGGTAAGCGTCACCATTACCAGGCCATCACCATACTGGGTGATGCTTACCAGGTACCAGTTAATCAATACCATAAGCAGCCTGCAGGGCTGCTCCAGCTCCGCTTTGGCAGGGAGCAGAAGATGGGCATGGGGGGCCAGCAGAGGGGACGGGCAGCTTCAGTGAGGGCAAGGAACGGCAGCCCCAAGCACAGCAGGGTGAAGAGTAGGATCTATTTAACCAGCTAACTGATTAACCAGGATTTTACATCCCTAATGTAAGGTACTGCACTTAGGAAGGTAAAATAAATTGCTGAAATATAGAATGGGGAATAACTGGTGAGATGGCTGTACTGCAGTGGACCACAAGTTGGATATTCGTCAACAGTGTGATACTGTAGCAAACAGACAAGTGTCATCCATGGATGTTTAAACAAGAATATCATACATAAGAATGACATTTGGTGCTGGTGACCCTGTACTGGAGAACTGCATGCATCTTTGGCCACTATGCTTTAAGACAGATGTGGAGCAATTGAGAAAAGTCCAGAGGAGGTCAAGAGAAATAAAAAGTTTAGAAAATTTGACTTATGAGAAAAGATGGAAAGAATTGGCCATGTTTAGTCTTAAGAAGATAAGACTGTAATGTGTAATGGTCTTCAGATTTCTGAAATATTATTATAAACAGGACAGTGATTAGTTGTTCTGTGTCCTCCGAAGGTTGGACAAAAAGTAATCTGTCTAATTTTCTGCAAACGAATTTTAGGTTGGATATTAGAAATACATTTCTAACTATAAGAAATGCTAAGCTCTGGAATGGGTTATCCCGAGAAGCTGTGGAATTCCTTTCATTGGTGGTTTTTAAGAACAGTTTAGACAGACATCTCTCGTGGATGGTTTAGGTAGTCAGTCCTCCTTCAGTGCGGGGGAGGGTGAGGTAGATGACCTTTTGTGGCCCTTGCCATTCCTACATATCTTGGATAAATGATCAAATTGCATTTGCAGTTCAGGTCTTACAATGAACATTTCATACATAACAAGCTCTCATATTTAAATAATTTTAATCATTTTTCAGTAATAGAAGAGAATATGGTAGAACTCTAAGGTATGTTCAACAAAAATATTGATCTTTATGAAAATAATAAAAAACAAAACTTTTTAGCCAGTGTGTGTTAACACACATGTCAAAAAAACATATCTGTCTCTATTTGATAGGGAGATTCCTAACAAATTCTCTGAACCTAGATTATATTTTAATTAATGAAATTTGTCAGTAATAAGAATGTGAACTCATAGGATACCATAGGCATAATGCATGACAGCATGATTGTGTTTATTTCTTAAATTCAGTAACATTGTAGTTGGGTTTTATTTCATTTAATGTAGCAACATTGCAAATAATAACAACAGTAATTGAATCATTACTCTCATTAATCATTGTACCAGTGTTGATGCCTTCAATAATGTTAACTTGTTCTGTTTTCAAAGCATCAGGCAATGAAGAGACATGGTGAAGCTTGGGTTGAAAGCCTGCGCTATAGGAGACCTGATCTTGACTGTATGGCAGGTTTAAGGCGTATCACTCTTAACTGCAATACACTTGTTGGTGATCAAGGGGCTAGAGCTTTTGCAGAATGTCTTGGAGAGGACTTATGGCTGAAGGGTATGGTAAAACAATTGTTTTGTGCTTCTAAGTAGGTTGATCACAGTTCTGAAAGGTAAAAGGTGATACCATGATGGGCTTGGATGGTCATCCCTGCTCAACCCAAGCCCTGCTAGCCTCTCCCCTGGGCTCCTCTCCCCTGTCTCTCGGCCCCGCAAGCAGTAGCAACCCTTCTGGAGCTCCCAGCTGTGCAAGCTGCGGCAGCCCCACTAGATCTCTTGGCAATCCCACCGCCTGCTGGCTTCATGGCAGCCCCGCCAGACTTGCTGGTGGCTCCACTGGCTGCAGGGTCTACTTCCCCACGAGCTAATCCTCTCCCTCCCCCGCCCACATGTCCCCCCCACACCAGCTTCCCTACCAGTTGTGGGTTCTGGTGCCCCATGGGCCTCCCTGTCCTACTGGCCCTGTTATCTGACTCCATTCTGAGCCGCCAGCAACCTCTGCTGCTGATGCTCTCTAGTCCCGCAACATCCATGGTCTTATTGGACCACAGATGATGTCAGACCAGAGTGTTCCGACCCACAGAGGTTCAACCTGTATCGGATATTACAGTATCTGCATAATGATGCTTTTCCTGTGAAGTATTGAGGTCAGTATTTAAAACCTAAGCTATTAGATGCGTTTGTTTATTTTTCTCCTAGCAATATGTTGAACCGTGTTAAGCAGCATTGCATTTAATATTGCTTTGCATATTAAACTTTGATTCTTTTCTGTTCTTCAAGTTTGCAATTTTCAAAACCAATCATAAAAATAACATGATGAAATGATGGAGTAAGGACTTTTAATATTTCTAAATATAAACGTTTAGAAATATAGAATATAAACATAGTTTAGAAATTATACAATTGCTAACATTTAGTAAAAAAGAGACCTTTTAGTCAAGAGTACTCTAGATTTAAACATAAATAAATTTTGCTGATATTCCAGTATTTTTTTTTTTTAAATCAAGAGCAGTTCTCTTTCAATTCACAGATATTTATTTATTTATTTTCTCTCATATGTTTGTCCAGCAGCTATATGTTCTAACTTTGATGTGGATAATGACATAAATGTTAATCTCTGTCCTTCATTTAAAACATTACCTTAACTCTCCTTTGGGTGGAGAAAAGAGTAGTGTTTGTTTGTTTTGGTTACTCACAAGATGAAGTATATGCATGTTCATATTTTCAATATGGATAGATTAATTATTTGGGTTAAGTGATGCAGCTGAGTAATGTTTAACCTTTTTAAACATTTCAGCACTTGACATGCAGCAGTGTGGAATTTCCAATGATGGGGCAAAGTCATTGTTAGATGCTTTTCAAAGTAATACTACTCTAGTGATATTGGATGTAAGAAAAAACCCATTAATTGGTACGTACTTTTATATGTCCTTCCATTTTGATTGAAAAGAAAGATTTTTCATTTATTCCTTATTTAGAACTTGGGATATTCAGCACATTCAAATCTGGTTTAACATGTGCCATATACATTTTAATTAAAGGGAGATGTTGACTTGTTTTATCTCATACTATCTGTTATGTTTTTCAAAAATAATCTAATATTGAAATTAATTAAATGAAATAAATTTTGTTTCACTTTAGATCACACTTTGATGAAAAAACTTACTGAAAGAGTTCTCATGAATGGAAACAGTGCCAGTTCAGAGGTATGTTTTAGGTATTCTGGAATTACTTTTTTTTTTTTTTTGGTATCTGTATTTAAAGATATAACATCACATGCCTTTGTACAGATCAGTACAACTGTTTTGTTTAATATTAAATGTAGGTTCACGTTACGCTTAAAATTGACAAAAAATTAGAAAACGCAAAAGTGTAATACCAATAGCAGCATTAACAATGCCAGTTTGAACATCCTGTATATTTTGTGAAATTTATAACGTAAACTAATAAAGCAGGAATTAGGTAGATATTTAACAAGAAAAAGAAAATAGAAAACAGTTCATATGTGTACCTTCTGGCTCATGGAGACTCCTCTCCCATTCAAGCCACTGGCTTTTTGCTCTTTAGCCTGCCTCTGGTACAAAACAGCCTTCCTGGTAGTTATTACTTCGAGCAGATGAGTGTTGGAGCTGCCTGCCCTTTCTCATAGACTTTAAGGTCAGAAGGGACCATTATGATCATCTAGTCTGACCCCCTGCACAGTGCAGGCCACAGAATCTCAACCACCCCTCTTAGAATAATCCTGAGCTTCTCTGATGTATCAGAGGCAGCAAGGCAGGGGAGATGGGAGCCAGCTTTTAAACAGGCTCCCCGTGTGTGCCAGCTTCCGCAGAACTGACTGACAAACTGACAGAGCTGACTGGGGAACTGACTGCCATGGAGGCAGCAGCACAGAGGGGCAGACAGAGCTGGTGCTTGTGAGGAGTTTACTTAAAAGCCAATTTCCCATGAGCACCAGCTCCTGTGGTCACCTGTGCTTCGCTGCTGACTGATGGAGAGGCAGTAGCGTACCTTTTGTTTAATATTAAATGTAGGTTCACAGCTTCTTGTGTGTATCCCCTCCCCTCAAGGTGCCTGCCCTGCCCCTCTCTATCAGAGGCAGGTGGGAGGAGGGAAGTGGAAGGGCAACAGTGCCGGGGGGAGAGGGGACAGGAGGGAGATGTCTTAAAAGCTGGCTCCCCATCAGCACTGGTTCCTGCTGCCCTCCCTGTCCCCTCCCTCCGCCTGCGCTGCTGCCTTTGATAGAGAGGCAGCAATGCGGAGGGTTGAGGGTGCAGAGGTGAGTTTGTTCATGTTGTAGCGGGGTCAAGCTCAGTTCAGCCCCACTGACCCCCCTCCTTCAGTCTGTCTCCCTCCCTCTCCCCGCCGCTGCACGACAGCCACTTTACAGTCTTGGCCGGCTCCTTTGCTC